CTGGAACTTTCCGCATATTGGAGTTCTAGCATAATATGCTGGAAGTTCATACACAGGTGCACCAATCTCTAGTATATTATGTTGGATCAGTCCATGTTGCAGCAAAATAGTGGCTATTTTTCAATGGCTTTGCAAATGATGGCTATTTTGAAATTATCAGTCCAAAAACTGGCTAGCCCGTGTTATTTTTACTAATATAATAGACGTGATAAAAAATGAGACCCACATTTGCTTTAGCTGCTTTAGGGTAGGGCCGCCTTAACAGAAAATCCAATCTTCTTTGAATTGGTCCTAAGAATCATAAACATTATGCAGTATTATAAATGAGCAAAACGAAAGAATGAAACTTAACTAGAGTGTTATCTATCACCAAAACGAAATAACTAAGTGGAGGATATCTGCATTTCTTTCTAAGGAAAATGGAGGAGATCTGCATTTTATATTGAATATAATGCACTTCTATTTATAAAGTATACACTAATCCTACTGGAGTGGGTATGTTCTAATTTAAGTTGTGAAGGTGCAAAGTTCAATTCTTATATCTAACCTTTCCTTTTCCTTTTATAGTTTGTAACTATATAAAAAGAAATAAGAATATAAAAACCTTCTTCCTTAAATATCATTATCCACTTTAAAGTAGAGGTATGGTCTGAATTTAAAATCTATGGGTTCTAAACTTGTCACCAAATTCATAATTGGTGTTGGAATGTGTGGATATCTCAAAGAAAGTGTCCCTTATTTTTATCTAATTATTATTCCTTATTTTCTCTCATTATGAAATAGTCAAACTAGCCGTTAATTTGTCTGTTGAAAACTAACCGTTGGAGCAACACGTATATGAATATGATTTTTAGAGAGCTAAAGATATACTTTTCTCAAACTTTTCTTCCTCCTATATATGGCACTCTTGTGACCAATAACATAGATTTTCCAACTCTCCTTTCTATTTCTCCTCCTCCTTCTACGTTGGACTTTTTTTTCTTAACTTTTTTGCTAGATCTATTTCCAGTTTATAACTGAAAGAATTTGTTGAATCCTAGGGGATATGACTAATTTTATTTATCGTTGTGTGAGCAAGATATCCTTAAGGACAATCTTTTTGACATGCCTCAAGCTTTGCTAATTTCTGTTCTCCATAATCAATTTTTCCCCCATAATCTTAAGGATATTCCACAATTTTATTATGGGGAATAAGATTTATAATATTTTCGTTGACACTCCTATATTTGATGCACAAACTATTCTAGTCATTATTTTAATTCCAGCATCCATCTTTTCTTCAGAGAAGCTATGTAAGTTCCTCAAGTGTCTTAGCTTTGAGACAATCATAAAGAGCAAAGGTGATTTGGACCAAAAAGTTTACAAAACAGTTTGATTTACCTCAGCATATGAAAGGAAAGTGAAGTAATAAGGTTTAAACATAAATGGAAAACAAACATCTGGAACTAAGTATTATTGTTTCTATATCATTTATAACTTATGTGACACGATTTTTTTATTAGTTCGTTAAAAAAAGAATAACACAGTCACATTTTAAGCTTAATAATTTTTTTTTTATAGGCATATTACCACACAAATATTATGACATATATAAAAAAAAATACATAACCATACAAAACTATGATATAATTAAGACTGTAAATTTCAAAATTTCCATCAATTTCTTAAAAAGAAAAAACCCAGTCAAAGACGGAGGGAGAAGTAGTAGACTAGTAGTAAAATGAGAGACTCATCGATGGCCGTTGGATCAGATTAATCAAGCGGCGCTCTTTTTCTATATTTAACGACTAGTATTAGTACCCGTGCGGATGGGCGGACACTAACCATGTTAAATATTTGAGTTATTTGACTTATATGTAAATAATCTTAAAATTTAAACTTTCTCGATAAATATAGATAATCATTGAATATTAATTAAAAAACACTACATAAAAATGATTAAACATTTCTCAAATCTCCTAGTTATAGTTCTATTTTTCTTTTTTGGTACCATTCTCGCCGGTGTCATTGGATCCAAAAAATAGTTAGGAAGCAAAATAATAACTCATATTTATGGTAAAACAATCAAAGGTTGAGACTATGAAGGACTCTTTTGATACTACTTGACTCTTTTACTACTGCTTGAACTCTTATTTGGTGTGTTGATATTTTTCAAAAAATATTTTTATTTTAAAATTTCAGTTTCTAAAACTTTATTTTTCAATAATAATTATTTTTATAATAATGTAAGTGAAAATATTATTCTTAATTCAAAACTCATTTTAATCGGCTATTTAAAATTTTAAAAATTCTTTAGCCAGTGATTTTTTTTCTAGTATGACTCCATTTTGATATTTGACATTAACCATGTTAAATATCTGAGTTATTTAAATTATATGTAAATAACCTTAAAATTTAAATCTTCTAGATAATTATAGATAATCGTTAGATATTAATTAATAAACACTACATGAAAAAAGGCTAACATTTTCTCAAACCTCGTAGTGATAATTTTAGTTTTGCACCATTTTTATTGATATCATTGGAACCTAAAAAAAAAGTCACAAAGCGAAATAATAACTCATATTTATGAACTATGGCAAAGCACAAAGGTTGGCACAATATGAACGATTCTTTGGCTACGACGTGACTCTTTTACTACGCTTGAATTCTTATTTAGTATGCTATTATGTTTAAAAAAATATTTCTATTTTGAAATTTCAATTTCTAAAACATTATATAATTTTCAATAATGATTATCTTTATAATGATGCAAGTGAAGATATTATCCTTCATTTAAAATTTACTTTAATCGGCTATCTAAAAATTTAAGTGATTCTTTGGCCGGTGAAAATTTATTTCAGTATGACTCCATTTTGAGTTTATCGATATATCTAACCATAGATTTTGAGTTTTGAATACCCTACAAATACATATTTTTTGTTATTTCAATCATTAAATGTTAGATTAATTGATTGTTATTATATAACATTGCATATATTTTCTTAAAATTGCCAAGCAATTTTTTCTCGACACCATACTTGGCTTAACCTCAATGCAAACTACTTAAATTGCATTCAAATTCAAATTCGAACATCATATCAGTTTGTTAGTAATAGTGATTTTTTAAAAACGACACACAATGTAAATAAAAAAATATATTCTAAGATATCCTTATCTTATAATCTATGTATTTGAGTTGAAAACAATATTTGAAATCGATGAGATTGACTTCCAAATTTTTACACTCAACAAAGATGAAACAGAAGAAGAAATTCGTTGTCGTCTCTTATTTCTGATTTTTAGATTTTTCATACATTTTTTTCTATTTTATTTTCTTTATCTTATTTTTTATGTCTTTATTTCTTTTGTTACAAAAAATTAATTTATTTCGTAATAAAATGGTGAGTTTTAATAGAAATTGTATACATAAAAACTTTATTTATATTTTTAGTCTTTGGTTGAAATTTTGTCATATTTTTCTTTTGGCTTTATCTTATCAACCTAAACAAGTGCTCACCCAATCACTTAAATTAAAAAGTCGAGGATGTGTAATTTATATATAATTCATATATAACAGGTGTATAATTGTCTGTTGTCGGTATATCATCTATGTATATTAGCTATAAAAAGTAAACAATAAATCTGGCTGGATATTTATGTAATAATCCGTAAGATCCCGGTTTCTTGATTTTATCCATGATATGACTTCTATTATAATTATTTTAAAAACTCTCTACTAAAATTTAAAAATATCTGATCTTTTATTTTAAAATTATATTTTAATTTAAAAAATAATCCCATTTTGAAATAATTTGGTTACATTTTAAAAATAACTATTTCACGTCATACCAATTGTTTTCTTAAATATATTTTTTGTTACACTTGAAAATCACTATAGAAATATATATATATATATAAAAATAACTATTTCACGATATTTATAAGCTTGACAGTTGGCTTAACCACAACGCTAATTATACATGATAACTTTATTCATTTAATATATATATAAATATATAGATTGTAGTTCTGAATTCCTATGTTGTCCCCACCCAAGAATTCAAACCCACCATTCCCACATTCCCTGTTTTGCTTTTGCTCCGTTTTTATTTTTTATTTTTTATATTAGAGAACTGCAGATTCAGTTCCTTAACATTAATACTACAACCTATTGGATGAAATATTTAGAGATTTTATGAGTCCAAAAGACGACGTTTGAATTTTGATTCCTTTTGCCTGGATAATCACGGTTCAAAATTCTTCCCTCTTTTTTTTTTTTGCAGTAAATTAATCTCTTTTTTACTGAATCTTCAAAGTAAATGTAGGCTTTTTCCTCTTATCTATTTTTGAGTGATATTCAAACTGGCTAATTTTGAAATTACTGCTCAAAACCCTAATATTTTGAATTCTTCCAATGAATTGGTGCAAAAAAGAGGATTTTAAACTATGAATTTTGAATATTTTAATCTTTCCATTTTTTCCGGGGGTTTTATATTGCTTTTATCTATTCGTGATATTTACTAATATGACATTTTGTATTTTGGTCAATTGATTGTATTGAAATTTGCACATTGTGAATTGTTTAGGAAAAAAGGCCAGTTGAAAATGTTTTTCTATTACTATTGGCACCTTCTAAGTGCATAAAGACACGGCTTCATTGCTTTGCTCATGCTTCGACGTCGAGAGTGAGTTGCTCTAGTGTTAAGCATTTCGAGTCACCCAAGATCAAGGTGGGTAGTTCTTGGAGGGAGGGAGCCGAAGGTGTATCCGAAATAGCCTATAAGATCTGCGTACACACTAACCTCCCCAGATCCCACTAATGAAATTATACTCAGTTATTGTTGTTGTTGTTTGTTGTTGTCACCTATATATACTACGGTCACTTAGCTCAAAGTCTATTTGTAGAGTTAATTTCAAAAGATACATGTTACCTCTCAACAATAATAGGTGTGCCAAGTAACCGGATCCATCAAAGCTTGTACAGAGTCACCTAGTTACTTTTTGACTCGGTTGGGATTTGAATCTTTAATGTTATGGTTCTCAATCTAATTCATTCGCGTCTAGTCCGTACCATCTTTGTTTTAGAACAGGGGGATTATACCAGTGAAATCTCTTAATACATTGAAGAAACACATGTTTAGACAATCTAAGATGGAACCCTAAAAGGCGAGTGAAATTAAGCTCTAGAGGCTCATTTAAGTAGTGGAAGAGGTTAATTATCCCCCCAACCCCAATCCCCCACAGGAGAAAAGGACAGCGGAGGTTAAATGTCCAGAGTAGAGGAGTCATTTATTTCTGAATATGTACTGATCTCGATGATGAGGCTTTGCTGCTGAGTGCTGAAATTTACTAATGGTATCTTTCAGAATGGTTGAAGTTGGCTCCTTTTTGAGCACATATATAAAATTTGCTACTTCTTTGTTATATAAATTGAAAAAATCAAGTAACTACTCCGTGGGCTTTTATTTGCTGAAACCATTATTTGGTGTACATATTAAAAAATCATGTTTGTTGTTGGATTCCACTTGTGGTATTCTACTGTTTTTTTTTTTTTTTTTTTTTTTTTTTNAAAAAATCAAGTAACTACTCCGTGGGCTTTTATTTGCTGAAACCATTATTTGGTGTACATATTAAAAAATCATGTTTGTTGTTGGATTCCACTTGTGGTATTCTACTTTTTTTTTTTTTTTTTTCTTTTCTTTTGTGTGTGTGTTAAAAATCATGTTTGTTCCCTATGTAGTTTATCACTTTCCAAAATATTCAATTGTCATAAAGCAGAATCTTACATCGTGCTTGCCTTGATTCTGGTTTCTTTCTTTTTTTCCTTATAGTTTTCCCAGAATTTTAGGCATGGCTCCAGCAAAAAAATCTAGAATTGCGAATAAGAGGTTTCCTCCAACACTGAAATCTCTCCCAGTAAAGATGGTAATGGGGACAATATGAAGAATAGCTTGCGGGTGAGTTCAACAATACTTTTGTTTGCTCTTGTATTACATGAAAAGACAATTAAATTTGAGTTCTGTTATGGTTTTGTTTGCTTTTGGAAAATGCACCTAGGATAAATTAGTGTCTTCTTGGAAATGACAAGATGCTCTTTTTTTATTGGTTTGAGAAGTGGGGCTTGTATGTTGAGTTGGAAAGGAGTAATATTTCATCTTGTTTCATTTGGGTTAGATGTAACAAAGTCTTTAAAGACCTGTGGAATTCTGTACGCATTTTGATGCTGTTCTTTGATCAAAATTGCAGAAGAGGAAGGCGTCTGACATGATTGGTCCCCATTGGAGTGAGGAAGACCTGACACACTTCTATCAAGCATACCGCAAGTATGGTAAAGATTGGGAAAAGGTCTGTCCAAATTCAAAGTATATCCATTAATTGAAGTTTCTTGATTATCCTGGTAAGCATGTTTTTGCTGTTGGTTGATCCCTGACGCCTTGCCTGTAAGAGCTGCTTTCTACTTATTGCAGGTTGCTGCTGCAGTGAAACCCCGAACTGCAGAAATGGTGGAAGCTCTCTACATAATGCATATGGTAGGCTCTGAGTGCACTGTGCAGACAACAAAGTCACGTGTCTTTATTATTGAATCCTCTTTGCTTATGAAATCATCTAATGTCGTATCTTGATAGCAATACTTCTCTTCATCTTCTTATCCATCTTCTGAACTATGCTCCTACTGATGTATAGCTGGACTTAAATGTCATCTATACTGATAGCATGGTGAGAGAGCCCATTTTGTCAGAATCTCGTTCTAACGTTTCATGTTGTTGGCTTGTGAACATTTCAATATAAGTTATTTGAGGAGCACAATATCTAATAAGTCAAAAAAATTTCACAATGAAATTTGGTTAGGGTTGTCAACTTTTGTGGGGTCGTATTTTTCTGATGTTCATATTCTCTTTTTCTGTAGTCAATCATACCACATTGCCTAAACTCGACCTTATAATTTTTTATTTTTTTACATTGCCTGCGTTTTGGTTACACTGCCTTTGTTTCTCTGTCATTTGGAAATAATTTAGCCTTTTCTCTTACGTGGTAATGATTGCTGATAATATCATATGTGTTTCCAATTTGTATCATAGACGTGCGGATGTTATGAACATGAGCTCTAGTCTCCTATCTCCATGAGTGTGCTGTGCATAATCAGAAAGTCACTTGTGTAATCACAATTTCTTATTTTGTACTCACCAGTTGTATAGATTTCAGCCGTCCAACAATAGGTTTCCATGAGTCCTCTGAGATTTTCACGTAGTCAAGTACTTTCATACACATAATTTTCTGTTTTCTACCTTGTTTCTCTATCCTTATTTGGAACAATGTGTTCTAACATGTGGGTAATTGATATTACTTGAAAAGATTTGCATCAAAGATGACCCTCAGATCCATAAATCTGCCAGTTGGTGAAATGATTTGTTCATTTTCTTTTTGATGCTATTATGTTGCGTTAATACAGTGAAACAGCCTCCATATGCCATCATTGCATTTAATATAGAAAACTGTCATTTCCTGGTGAAGTGCATGATACTTAGAATGAGCCATCTCTTTCAGAAGAGAATGCCAATAGTCTTTTGGATTAACATTTTGGTGAAAAAGAGTAATCGCTTCATTTGTGATCGTTGTTGCTCCTTAGATGGTTATATACATAAAATACATGGAGTGCCATGTTAAACATCATGAACCATTGTCTTTATGAAAAGATCATCATAAATCAGGGTCTTGTGATTTTTTCCAGCAACAGGTCAGCGTCAATTTGGTCATTGTTCTGTGGTTATATTTTACGACAACCGATGACACTGAATAATTAATATACATGAATATATTGTTAAGTCAAACGTGAAGATGAAAGTTACCTATTTTATTCTACTGTATTTTCAGGCTTATTTATCGCTTCCAGAGGGGACTGCATCTGCGGTTGGGCTGATTGCCTTGATCTCTGATCACTACTGCTACTTGGTAAGGCTTGAGATATATTGAGTTTGAGTAAGGGGAATGTGTGTTATATTATATGTTTTATCTGTCCATGCCTCACTCCCTTCCCCATCCGCCAGACATATTTTTCCTTTTCCTATTTTTTTCAAGTGGAAGGAGTAGTGTTATACATGAAAGAGATACTAGCATTTTATCGTCGTGGCATCAGTGTAACGGAAACAGCCTCTCTACCTCCACAAGGTAGGGGTAAGGTCTGCGTACATACTACCCTCCCCAGACCCCACTTGTAGGCTTTCACTGGGTATGTTGTTGTTGTTGTTGTTGTTGTTGGCATCGGCATCGGTGTACGGATTGCTTGAATACTTCAAACGAAAAGTGCAGCTTGTCTTGAACGCAAATGTCTTTGCAATCTGTTATTAGATAAACATCAGGAAAGATGATTCTGTGCATTAGGCCACAGATTCTGATGGTCAGCAATAGTTTCTTTTAAAGAGAAGTGAATATCTGCTCAATGCTATCTATTATATTTGTTCACGATTTCTGAGTTCTAGTGTTTAAGTATGGTAGCTGACTATGAGATATCAGGCAGCAAGCAACAGCGAGCTCCTTGAATTGGTCTCTCCTTGATATGTGCCGGGTTTTCCGCCGTGATTCTCGCCCAATTGCGGATATTTCGGCTTTATGCTTTTTTGGCTCGATAAGCTTTCCTCGGTCTCGCTCGATCTTGATCTTGGGCGATCTCGATCGGTCTCTAGGTCACGAGCTCGACACTCAAACCTCGCATCATGGTTCGATATTACACGAGTTCGAACCTTGTCCTATTATGTTCCAGTCTCGATTAGTCATACGAAGGGCAAGCTCGATTTTGACCGTATACAGATAGTCCCCTCGTTTCTCGGGAAGAAGATGGCGAGAAACAATATGAATTTTCGAACTCCGACTCGATGGGTAATGACGTCAATGACGCACCCGATTATGATGTTCCAATTTTTTCCTCTTCTTCTCCCTCTGAATCAAACTTGTCCTTGCCATAATGGTTGAATTCCTATTAGTATCCATGATACAAGTCGAATCCTAGATGTAGAAATAGAAGAAGGTGGATCCCCTCTCCGTCGAAAGAAATGAGATTATCGCGGATGTTTTAAAAATATTAACCAAATTTGCCCGACGTAGAGGCAATCAAGAAAGCCGCATAAGTGAATATATAACCTACAGAAAAGTGAGCTAATCCAACCAATCTTGCTTGTACAATGGAAAGGGCCACTGGTTTATCTCTCCAGCGAATCAAATTGGCCAAAGGTGTGCGTTCATGAGCCCATGCTAAAGTTTCAATCAATTCCTGCCAATATCCACGCCAAGAAATTAAGAACATAAATCCAGTAGCCCAAACAAGATGTCCAAATAAGAACATCCATGCCCAAACCGATAAACTATTCATACCAAAAGGATTATATCCGTTGATAAGTTGTGAAGAGTTTAACCATAAATAATCCCTTAACCAGCCCATCAAATAAGTGGAAGATTCATTAAACTGTGAAACGTTACCCTGCCATAATGTGATGTGCTTCCAATGCCAATAAAAAGTAACCCATCCAATAGTATTTAACATCCANCTGCGAAATACATATACAAACAAACAATACACGTGGAAATGGCCCAAGTTTTCTCAATCTTAGGTACCCATGAATTTCTCAATTCTTCCGAAATTTTCTATTCCAATGAACGACCTCTTACCAGGTGATACTGAGGAGGGTCAGACCATTTTTTATTTGTTTATTTGTTTGATGAAACGACTTGTCCACCCAGTTATCAAGGCATTAAATGCCTGTCAGTCGCTGGTCGGCCATTACCGGTTCCGAACCGTCGCCAGCAAACTATAAAAACCCTAGCTTTTCTCATTCAAACTTTTACACTCAAAGCTCTTTTTACTCTTGCTTCTTCTTCAGAAAATCCCTTTGCTTCATTTTTACACCCAAATTTCTACTAATCAAACAACATACTATCCTAATTCTCCTTTCCTTTGTTCATCAATGACAAAAACTTCTAAAACTGTGCCGCAAAAGGAGGCCGCTTCTTCATCATGATCCGCCGGTGGCGAGGCTGCGGCGGAGCCCCACGCTGAGAAATTCGTTTCGGTAGGGTGCCCAACCGTTACTGATTTTAAGGTCGAAAAGGCCTCCTCGGTACCGGGCCGATGTGAGCTGGTCTCGAGGTACATATGCTCAATCACCGAAAAAATCCTCGACAAAGTTAAAGAGGAATGCAACTGGGACAAAAAACATGTAGTAGTTCCATTGCCTGAGGAATTGATTACTACCCACGTGGAGGGGTTTCTAAGTGTTTACACTCACCCCTTCACGTTGGGTCCCTTAGACCTTATCATCGTTGCCGTCTGCAAGAGATACGACGTGACCCTTGGCTAAATCCATCCTTCCTTTTGGAAAATTGTGATTCTCCTCCGATTTTTCACAAGCAAAATCGAGGGATGTCTTTTCACCCTCGATCACCTTATGCGCCTTTACAGTCCCCGACTCTATCAGGGGAGGGCTGATCAAGCTTGCTCTCCGGGCCAACAAAGCCTTGTTCTCGAGCATAGACGAGGCTCGTGACAGAGGTTGGATGGGCCGATTTGTCCGAATAAGGACTCAGACCTAATCCTTGCTGAAGACACGCCGTTTCCTGAGAAAGGGAACATGAATCGTGAGTAGTATTTTGCCTTAAATGTTCAATTTTGTTGTTTTACTTCTTATCTTCTTTCCTCATATGTGTTTTTGGTGTTGCAGCTGTGGCCCAGATGCCGGACTCGATTCCGGAACTCAAGCAATGGGTCAAGGGCCTGGTGTCGCAGAAACCATACTCCGAGCGTGCTTGGATGGAGTTATCAAAGGGTCGATGGGAGGCCCGCAGTCATAGTAAGTTTCTTTTTTAGAACGGTTATCGTTCGGGCTTCTTCTCGAGACTACTCCCATTTTTTCCTTTGTAGGCCTCGGGAAGGATGTTGCAATGAGGCCCCCAAGTGTTAACCCCGACCGCAGGCGGAATATAGTGCTTTCTGTCCCGGAGGATGCCCAGGTTTTCTCTCCCCCCGGGGATTGCTAGCTATCTTAGATGCTTGGTGACCGATGAAGACCAAGCCGTGATGAACGCGGTGGGAGCCGCTTGCCTGTTTAATGAAGCCCAACATGCTCTAAATCGGGTAACTTCGAGGGTCTTTCCATTCTTTCTTTTAAACTTAGAGTTGTAGATAATTCTAACATCTTCTTCCTTGCTTGCAGGCTTCGGTATTGCATCACGAGGCTTTCCTCCGAATCCGGAAGGAGCACGAGGATGAGGTTCGGGACCTCACTGAGAAAAGTGATACCTACAAACTTCTCAGTGAGAAGCGTCGGGCCGATTTAGTAACGGCTCGGGATGAGCATGCCGAGATGGCCGAGCAGGTATTTCGAGTGCTTCACGATAGTGAAGATGAATTGGAGATAACTACTAACGATCCGATTATGCAGGTCCAACAGAGGCTCGAACAAATCGGACGGCTCCAGACGCAGGTAGATGCGATACAGGCCGAGGCGGAAGAATTCAAAAAGAACATGTACATCCTAGCCTCGAAAAAGGAAACTGTCCAAGCGCAATTGGAGTCGGCCGAAACCCAGCTCCAAGCTGCAAAAGAGAAGGCCTCGGTGCAGGTCGAGAAGATCATGAAGCTTCAGTCTCGGTTGGATTTAGTCGTTTCTGATAAGGCAAGCTTGGCCAACGAACTCGAAGTGGCCAGATCTTAGGTAGTCGTGGCCAACACAAAAGCTGATGCTAAAGTGGCCATGTTTAGGGTCGACGTCGAGGCCAACTTTGCCAAGGCCAAGGGCATGGTAGATCGTGCAAAATGGCAAGCTCGAAGGGAAGCCCTCGAGGGAGTTCATGCCCAGGGTTTCGATATTATAGCCGAAATCGAAAATGCCAAAGCAGAGGAAGCCAGGGCCCGGAGGCTGACCTTCCCCGAGGAAGACTTCAAGAGCTCAAGTGAATCCGAAAACGGGGAAGATCCCGAGGATGTAGATGCAACCTCCGATGAAGACCAAGCCACTTAGGACTTTATATTTTTTGTTTTTCTTTTGCATTTTTTCTGGGGCCGTTTTTGGCCGTTGTAACTTTTGCATTAGGCCGATTTGGCCTTTGTAAAAAACTACTGTATATAAATATATGGCTTTTCTTTCCCTTTCGTCTCTCATATTTTTCCTTTGCTTTATTATTTGTATTCACAAAGGTTGAAATGTCTTAGCATGAAACAATAAGGTTGTGTTCGAGGGTTCGAACAAACCTTGCCTTTATTGCCTTTCTGGGTTTGAGGTTCGATGTTACCAAAGTTTTTCCCCGAAAACATCCTAAGTTTGAGACTTTACCGAGGGTAGCCTTTAGAACCGATTGTAAAAGAATTTTTTCTATTTTCGAAGGCCTATTTTTATTACGGATTTCGGACGTCTCCGAGCCGTGTTAAATTGGCCGTAGCCTTTTAGTTCGGGAGCTACCCATTGGGCTTGTTTTCCCGTTTTATCCGGGCTTGCCCGAGATAATAGTCCCCGAGTGGGGTGGTCATGACCTTTAGAAATCGGGGAGTTGCCTATTGGGTCTTTTGCTTCCGAGGCCCGATGACTTGGGCTGTTTGAGTCGGACGGCAGTCCCCGAGTGAGGGGGTGGTCATTCGCATTCCGGTTATGTATTGCCCTTGGGCTTGTTAATTTCGGTAGTACGAAGCTTTTTAAGGAGGTGTAAAGAGGGTAAATAAGATGATTGCAAGGAAAGTACTTCTCTTTATTCTCGATCGAAACAATCATACATGCGTACATGTTTTATGTTAGGGCTCGAGCGATCCACGTGGGCACGACTCGTTTTGATCGTTTGGCCCTTACAATAAATCCTGTCTATCGAGACCTTTTCTTTAAGAAGTAGTTTCTTCGCTAGAGTTAGTATTCGAAGATAGTGCATATCCGAGGGTAGCCCCCCATTATTCGAGGTTGATTGCAAAGGAACCTCGGATGTTGTTGAATTGATCTTCGGTGTCGATTCGTAATCAGGCTTGATTCTAAGTTAGCACGATTCATTGTTGCCTCGTTAAAAACCTCGCCGGAAAAATCCATTTCGGACAAAATCGGTCTAAGGGAAAAAGAGTGCAACACGTGCTTTCAGACCTAAAGACTTCGTGCTGTTCGCTGAAAAATCCATCGTTGTTTCTTGTCGACCACCTGCAAGTGTTAATTTGAAATAGAAAAGGAATGGAAAAGGGGCTTACCTCAGCAGTAGTACCGTTTTAGGTGAGATATGTTCCAATTGCTCGGTAGTTGTTCCCCATTCATCGTTCCGAGCTTGTAGGACCTTTTTCCGGTGACCTCGAGAATTTGGTACGGTCCTTCCCAATTCGGATTCAATTTCCCTTCATTGGGATGTCGGGTGTTGAGGGTGACTTTTCTTAGCACTAAGTCCCCGACTTTAAAATATCGAAGATTGGCTCTTCGATTGTAGTATCTCTCGATCCGTTGCTTTTGGGCGGCCAATCGGACGAGGGCGGTTTCACGCCTTTCATCCAATAGTTCTATGCTCGTATTCATGTCCTCGTTATTTGATTCCTTTGTTGCATATTAGAACCGGATACTCGGTTCTCCGACCAATATTAGAGCTTCGACTCAATAAACTAATGAGAATGGGGTAGCCCCGGTACATGACTTCGAGGTTGTGCGGCATGCCCAGAGAATTTCGGGTAAAATTTTATTCCACTTTCCTTTGGCGTCGGTTAGCCTCTTCTTAAGATTTTGGATGATGGTTTTGTTGGTCGATTCGGCTTGTCCGTTCCTGCTTGGATGATAATGTGTTGATAGGATTCTTTTGATCTTGTGATCCTCGAGAAATTTGGTTACTTTGTTGCCGATGAACTGTTTTCCGTTATCACACACAATTTCGGATGGCATCCCGAATCGACATATGATGTGATCCCAAATGATGACTTCCTTCTCCCTAACTTTCTCAAAGGCCTGTGCTTCAACCCACATAGAAAAATAATCAGTCATAAATAAAATAAAGTGAGCTTTACCTGGTACCCATGAAAGAGGGCGAACGATGTCCATTCCTCACTTCATGAATGGTCATGGCGACAAGACCGAATGGAGTGGTTCCTCGGGTTGGTGAATCATCGGTGCATGCCTTTGGCATTTGTCATATTTTTGAACAAACTCTTTCACATCTTTTTCCATGTCGATCGAGTAATAGCCGACTCTGATTACCTTTTGAACTAATGATTCGGCACCGGAATGATTTCCGCAAGTGCCCTTGTGAACTTCCCTCAGAACATACTCGGTGTCTCTTGGTCCCAGACATATCGCTATTGGACCACCGAACATTCTTTTGAACAAGGTTCCGTCTTCAGACAATGTGAATCGTGCTGCCTTCGTGCGCAGGGCCCTCGATTCTTTTGGATATGAGGGAAGCTTTCCGGTTTTCAAATACTCTATGTATATATTTCTCCAATCCCAGGTCAAGCTTGTGGAGTTTATCTCGGCGTGGCCTTCTTCGACTATGAGATATCTCGGCACGACCGCCCCCTAATTGAGCTCGTTGTCCTCGACCGATCACCCTAAGTTTGCGAGGGCATCAGCCTCACTATTCTGATCTCGAGGCACATGTTGCAAAGTCCACTCCTTAAATCGGTGCAAAGTTACTTGTAACTTATCTAGGTATCTTTGCATTCGTTCTTCCCTAACTTCGAAGGTTACGTTAACCTGATTCATCACGAGGGAGTCGCATTTGGCTTCGATCATCTCCGCTCCCAAGCCTTTGGCTAGTTCGAGACCTGCAATCATGGCCTCATATTCGGCCTCGTTGTTAGTTAATTTCACAGTTCTAATTATGGGTGTTTAACAGGCGGGCTGGGACGGGCTGTACACAAAAAAAATCAGCCCGTCCGTTTAACGTTCCGGGCTGTTAGCGGGCTGTACTTTTTCGGTTTTTTTTTGTCCGTACGGGTTCGGGCTTAGCGGGCTGGACCGGGCCGTGCAATATATATATATATATATTTAAAGTAAATTTTGTTTTTCTTATTCAATGTTATTGATACTTAAGTGTTTGCAAACTTTTAAGGCTTAGAATTAAACTTTGAAGTTACAGTTTTAAATTTGAAATTTGAGTTTTACAATTTTAAAATTGAAATTTGAAAATAAGTGGCTACAAAAAATTATTTAATAAGACCAATAGGCAATATGTAAGGATCAAGCTCCGAAGACTTTCATTTGATATTTTTATTGAATAATATATAATACTTCAAATTAAGTTACAAGTTCTATTTTGATTTTGTTATTTTTGAACTTGCAAATTAAAAGTTTATAACAATTACAAAAAAAAGAAATAGTACATTACATGCTTTGCATCATTTTTGTAAGTTCATCCATGTCAACATGAGGTTCTTGGTTTCCGGCATTGGTTGAATCAGAACCATAAACCATTATATCTTCAATTTCTTGGTCCTCCGCTTCATCTACCTCGTCACGTCCTTGATTTCGCCGTTCTGATCTTATCCAATCTCTGAAGCACACTGGAATTTTCAAAGCGTTGCTGCCCAATGAATGATGGGTATCTCCTAATTGCTGCCTTGCTTGGCTAAATGCGCTCTATGATGCGACTGTTGAAATCACATTTAGCATGTCTCGAGCCATGGCCGAAAGAACAGGAAATTGATTTGAGTTGCTCCTCCACCAACCAGTGGTAGAAATTCCTTTGTGCGGGGCTCTGCTGACTTTTCCAAGTAGAATTGAAGTTCATCAATATGCCTGCTACTGGTTTGTTGATGCTCTCCTAGTGTAGACCAAATCAAATAATCTTTAACACTATCATTATCATCCAAAGCACTGGTCCCAGATGTTGAAACTGAACTTGAAGGAATATTTGCATCTACAGCAGAAGAAGCATCAACAATGTTAGCATAATAATTATATAATATTTCTAAATGTTTGTGTAGATCAGAAATACAAGTGTCAATATCAGGAGTTTCAGTTGGTCCAATATCCATATAAGAATATAAAGCACTGATTAATTGGCGACAAGTGGTCATTTTGATAGAAGGGTTTAAAATAACACCAATTAGATAAATAGGGGGAATTGGGTAGCCATATTTGAATTTGACCGTTGGTAACAGTCCAGAAAAAAAAAAATTTTTAAAAAAAAACCCCGTTAAAAACCGGGTTGAACCGGCTTGTAGCCCGTTAAAAACCCGTTAACGGGTTAACTGGCTTAGCGGGTTCCGGTGCACCGGTATCAAAAAAGTATTCGTTTGAAACCCGCTCCCCGCCCAACCTGTCCCAGCCCGCCCCCTACGCTACAGTACCGGGTTGACCCGAGCTGAACCGGGTTGTAAACGGGTCAGCCCGGCCCGATTAACAGGTATAGTTGTAATAGATTGTCTAATCACGCTGCCTGTGGGTGGTTTTAGTACGATGCCGAGTCCGGACCCTTTTGCATTTGAAGCACCGTCCTTAAAGAGGGTCCAGATTCCCGATGACGTACCCGAGTTTACCAATAGCTCTCTTTCAACCTCGGGTACTAGGGCCGGCGTGAAGTCAGCCACGAATTCTGCCAAAATTTGAGATTTAATGGCTGTTCGGGGTCGGTATTCAATATCATACCCGCTGATTTCTATAGCCCATTTGGCCAACCGTCCCGAAAGCTCGGGTTTATGCAAAATATTTCGAAGTGGATAAGTTGTTACAACACATATGAGGTGATATTGAAAGTATGGTTTTAGTTTCTTAGAGGCGCTTATCAAAGCGAGCGCTAATTTTTCTAGATGGGGATACCTAGTTTCGGCCTCACCTAAGGTCCGGCTAACCTAATAAATAGGAAATTGCGTACCTCGTTCTTCTCGGACTAGGACTCCACTTATCGCTACCTCCGATGCTGCCAAATACAAGTAAAGCTGTTCGTCTGCCCTCGACGTGTGAAGCAGCGGCGGGCTTAATAAGTACTGTTTAAGCTCTTCCAAGGCTCGCTGGCATGCCAGAGTCCACATGAAGTTGTTCTTCTTTAGCAACGAGAAAATTCGGTGGCCCTTATCGGAGGACCTTGAAATGAATCGCCCCAGGGCGGCTATTCGCCCGGTTAACCTCTGCACGACCCTTACGTTGTCTACTACCGTGATGTCATCGATAGCTTCGATCTACTCGGGATTAATCTCGATT